CGATGATTTTAGTGATCTAGGCACAACCACGGCTTAGACCCCTACAGTACCGTGCGTCACATAATCGAGGCCGGCTAGATCAGACGTGATAACAGCCGCAGCAAGTACAAGTGCAAGGTTTTGGGATCAGTTACCGCAGATACCATGAGCCGGAAGCTGTAATTATGTAAAAATTGTGATAATCCTTGACGCCGGTGATTTGGCAGGTATCAAACGCAACTACTAATTAAGAACTAGTAGGTTTTATGCTATAGCTCGATACTCTCCTAAATGAAGGCAAAACAACCCGCCTACGCATGCTACACACCTGCGCCCATTTTTCACACATAAACAACAATAGGTGGCTTGAATAGCAAAGGAATGGCAGTGCCATACAGGCCGCCTAAAGAGGGAACCATTACAACCTGACTCCTCATGCTGAGAGGGCACGAAGTTATCACGTCAGTTGGCTGCCATTCGACCGAGTACCTGCGTAGCAATAAGCTTGCCCGCACATTAACAGAGCCAAACCCTAGTGCCGAAAAACTCACGTCTTCCAGCCTTGTTGTAACACTCATAAAAGTTAAATTTATTTCATCCTACTCTTGCAGGAATTGAGCACACCCAAGGGCTTGCCGCTGCCCAGCGCCCTCTTAATATGAAATAATAGGCTAAAAAACCACACCAAAATCGACGAACGAATAAAAGAAGCCACGGCTATTCTTTGTTCGCTTGAGCGGCGAATTACATGGCTGAAAGTGATGGAATGACCAAACGCGCGTCAGAAGTACTATCTTATCCTCAAACTAGCATAGGAAACCTGTTATACAACGTGTCACCACGTTTGACCGTAGTATCAAAGCAGGAGGCATATCCGTTTTGAGGAAGATCAGATAGAAAAGCTTGTGCAGTTTACACAGCTGTACAACTCAACAGCCATTCCATCAATTTTGAACAAGACATTAATGTTTAACTAATAGAGTCAATTATCACATTTTCCTCATAAGACGGGCATTTGGCCAGCACGCTTTCGTTGCAGTCGATGGATTAATCTTTCAACCGTTCGATCGATAGTCCTCGCACGTTGACAGCCCAGTCCATTCGCAGGCCGCGTCATCATGGATGCCCTACGAAATTTCGGTCGTCGAATGCGTCAACGTTTTACTGGTAGACACTTACGTAAATCCTTACAGCATCGGACAGTATGTAAGTTCAACATTATTTAGACGTTCTTTCATATTTAATAAGATGAAGATTTAACTGAATTTTTGCCAGTATTAAAGCTGTTCAGGTTAAGGATGCAAATTAATTTTAGCCATGTTTCAGTAATTGGCATAGAAGACGTGAATGTGTGAAACTAAGATGGGAATTAGGTGCACAGATCCATCTTGAGCACATATCCGCCCTGGTTTTCCGCTAAAGGCTTACAACCCATGCAAGCGGTGACACCATTTAGGCGATTTACAGAGACAGATTGCCACATTCAACTGGCCATTTCAGGCTTATTTTAAATCGTCAGTATGTTCGAGTGTCCAAGTTATCCCGTCAGTTGGCAACCCTCCAAGCCACGGCTTTTAGCGAACCGCGATGGTTCCAAACGCATCAAATAGTTGATAGTGGCGAAAGAAATGCGCTGAGGGTCTACCTAACTCCCTCTCCCGCCACCAGCAACAGCCCACCGCCTAACTGGTCAGTCCCCTGAGATGGGATGGGCGCAGTGCTGACAGTGTCTGTCACCAGTAGTAATAGGCAAACAACCTTTCAGGCCACTGATCAGTCCTATTATTGGTATTTACTGTACACTCTTCGCAAGTTTCGGACTCCAGAAGGCACGTCTGTGGTCAGGAGAATTTTCGAGGACGCAAACACCCCGCTTAAATGTTTAGTTCAGTGCTTGCAAATATGCGAGTTAGATTGCAGTCTTTAAACCTCACAGATTGAACAGATTCACGCGGTTAAACGGAAGCAGTTGGGTTATCAAT